TTTATTTACGGGGGGTGAGATAATATTCGAGATGAATCGGGACAGGAAGATACCCTAACTGGAGTGAGTGATGGGGAGGGAGGAGAGGATTCAAATCGAAATGGGTGAGACCGGGGTCGAGGGTGGAAACCGACTATCTATTGTGTGGAAAAAACAACTTTCATTGATTGCCTCGGGCGGGAGAGCGGTCGGAGAATAGTTGTATTGAGTAATGGTGTAGGAGTGGGGAACTGGCCTACTGGGCAGGCCTACAAAGGCTACAATAGACGATGGCAGGTTTTGGATTGGAAGGGAGAGCTACCAGGAAGATTAGGGCGAGGGCGTGCAGAGAACGCAGTCGGGGTGGGGGTGAATCGGGATGGGAATATGTCCAAGGGAGGGAGTGGTGAGGGGGGGGAAAGGCACAGGGCGGTCGGGGGGTGGCGCTTTACTTCCTATACACGGAAAAAGACAAACGAAGGGGAGTGAACCTGGGTGCAGGGGAGGTCCACGGAGGTTGAGGAGTAGTGTGAGTGAGACAATTAACGGGTTTTTATTTACGGGGAGCGAAATGAACGTACGAGGCGAGTCGGGATGGAAGGGCGTCTTCGGTGGGGTGAGTGGCGGAAAAAAAGGAAGACTGTCTAATACACGAAAAAAGCCAAAATTCGTTGATTACCCTAGGAGAGAGAGTGGTCCGAGGAAAATTTTGGGTAGGGGAGCGTGGTGAATAGAGAAGTGGGAGTGGGGGATTGGCCTACCGGGTAGGCCTCCGATAGCCGATCGCAGATATGGGATTAGAAGGACGTTGCCGAAGAAAATAGGGGGAGTGAGTGAGTAGGGCAGAGGACTGTCCAAGGTTGGGGATCACTTTCTATACACGGAAAAGACAGAAGACGAGGAGTGAACCTGGATGGGGGGTGAAGGTCCGAGGGGGTTGAGGAGTAGGGTGGGTAGGATCTCTGGGGAGCGGTTTTGCCGGAGAGGATAGAGTGAGTCGAAAGGGAAAGTTAGGGCAATACTGCACTGGTTACGGTCTGACCAGTACCCAAGAGGAAAGCAGCATAGGTCGTCCGGGTTCAAGTATCGTATTGTCGGCTGGCCGAGTAATAATGAGACTCCGTTTCCACAAGTTCGACAATGTAACAGATGAAGCCAAAAAGGAGAGCTTGGGTAAGTGACGCGCAAACCTCACGCTCTGTGCTGTCTTTCGTTCAGAGTGCTAGATGTGTGAAAAGAGGCCAAGAAAAACAGCAAGATGGGGTGTGCCAAGGATTTTTGGAAATTGAGTGTGGGGACACAGACGGAACTCAAATCCCCCGTGTTGGTCCGATGAAGTAAGTCGGTTGTTTTTGCACGTCGCAGAATGCGCGCGCGGGCACGGCGTGAAAAGAGAAAAATCCAAATTCAATCCAAAAAGTATTGTCGATCTTCCCACCGTGCTACGGCTCGTCGTTTAGAGCGGAAGGGCTTCGGCACGCTTCACGTGTCTCGTTTTCGTATCAAATCCCGTCGTCGCTCGCTAGTCAGTTATGAGTCTGATGTGGAGGGTCGCAGCCGCGTGGCTCTTTCCTTATGCTCGTCCTCACTCCGTATTCGGTAGTGGAAGCTCTTTGCTTCATAGCGATCGAAACGTTGGCACTCTGTGCACAGGGTTCGAGGACAATGGAGCGCCACTACCGTCCACGGAATGACAATCAGCTCGTTAAAGGGGAGCAATATTGAGGGTGGAAAGTGCGTGTCGATAATAACAAACCTAGCCTCTACGAACCCTGAACAACGGTTTGTCGGAGGGAAGTAGTATCGCCCGCCGATCTGTGCGACAACTTCTCGTACGTCCCACTCGCATACACGTGTCCTTTCCTCGTTGTAAGGAAAAGGCCGTGTTGATACGGGAGGAACGGGAGGCAAACGCGTGAACGAAGGGTGTTTGTCAGTCCACATGTCAATCAATTGCAACAACTCCGAGACGTCATCAAGGAGGAATACTCGCACAATCTCCAATAAATCCTTTCCAACACGACGGAGAGAGAGAGAAGAGAAAGAAAAAGAAAAACATTCATCAGCTCGATCAGCCATGTAACTAAGGGACCGACCCGTAACTCAGGTTCCCATAAACCACCGCAGTGTTGATCCCAGGCGCCTTATTTTTCGAAGCTGCCCTGTAGATCGGTTGCAGATGTCGTGCATCATAAGGCAGATGACATGCGCAGTGCATTCGGAACTACAGATCTAAACACTCTTGCATTCTCGGACAAAATCCCGACAACAAGTGTCTAATCAACGCAAAAAGACGCGTACCTCCATACATACATTCACTGTGGAAGGTGCGAAAATGAGGTATGCACAGGGATAAAAGATGGATCGCTGAATAATACACACGCATCCACCGTTCACAAGACACGAAGACGGGGCTCTTGCATAGGGGGACTACCTAGGAAACTAAAGGAAGAGTTCCGAAAGAAGTTCTATCACACAAGAATAACATGCAGACTCATTCCCATTAGAGAGAGAGAAAGAGATCGAGACACGACATCATTCAAAGATAGAGGAGAGAGAGAGAGAGAGAGAGAGAGAGAGAGAGAGAGAGAGAGA